CCTTGACGCTTCCATCAATTGATCGAATGGCCTTGATTTCGTCGATTAGCTGCTGATCCTGTCCCTCGAATGTGACTTCTTGTGATCGGAAGAACTCGGGCTTCAGTAGCGTGACGTCCTTGTTGTCGTTCTTGCCCTGATCGTGATCTGCTCGTCGGGACAGGAGGTCCGCCTTGCGGTTGAGTGCGCCGGGTCGGTGTCGTAAGGTGAAATCGAACTCCGCCAACTCCGTGATCCATCGTGCTTGCCGTCGATTGAGCTTCTGCGGCTTCCGAAAGTACTCGAGATTCTGATGATCGGTGAAGATCTCGAACGTTTCCGTGGCTCCCAGGAGCAACTGCCTCCATTCGTCAAGTGATAACATGATTGCGAGCATCTCCTTGTCGTAGATCTCATAATTTCGCTCGGTTTCGGTCAATGCGTGCGAAATAAATGCGATTGGGCGCCAAATGCCGTCTTGGTTTTGGCTCAAAACTGATCCTGTTGCCCCTTCCGAAGCATCGGCTTCCAGACGATATTGGCCAGTGTCATTTGGCAGTGCTAGGACGGCATCCTCCGCGATTCTCTTCTTTAACCCATCAAACGCCGCATGTTCATCCGGACCCCATGACCATCCTGCCTTCCCTGTCAGCCGTGTCAACGGCTTGGCGACCTCCGCATATCCCCGAACGAAACATCGATAGAAGTTTGTGAATCCGAGGAAGGCTTGGACTTGTTTGACGCTCTTTGGTTCCGGCCATTCCATCACGCCCTTGATCTTGACAGGGTCCATCCGCATCGAGTTGTGTCCAATGATTACACCCAGGTATTCGATTTCCGTGCGTTCGAACTCGCACTTTTCCGGCTTCAGGTATAATTTGTGCTTTTGGAGCAACTCGAGTACCCGTTTGGTGATTCGTCGATGTTCATCCAGATTTTCTGTGAAGATTAGTATGTCGTCCAGATAAACTACCACATGTCCCTCGTTGATCAGTTCCCGGAGTATGTCGTTCATCATGTTTTGGAAAGTTGCCGGGGAATTTGTGAGACCAAAGAACATAACCAAGGGCTCGTAAAGTCCGCGGTTTGTGCGAAACGCAGCCTTCCACTCATCGCCCTCTTTGATCCGTACGTTGTTGTATCCCCACCGGATGTCTAGTTTGGTGAAGAACTTGGCGCCGCACAGGTTGTGGACCAGTTCGGAAATCAGCGGTAGCGGGTACCGATTTCGGATCGTCATCTCATTCAGCTTCCGGTAATCTTGAACAGGCCGTAGCGAGCCATCCTTCTTCTTGACAAAGAAGAATGCCGATGCCATGGGTGATCTTGATGGCCTGATCCGTCCGCTGGCTAGGTTCTCTTGTAAGAACTCGTCGAGTTTGACCTGCTCGTTTCTCGATAAGGGGTACACCTTGCAGTCCACTGCTTTGGAGCCTGGTTTGAGCTCGATCGCATGATCCCATGCCCGTCGGTCCGGTAGCGAGTCGAATGATTCCTTGGCGAATACTTTGACGAATTCTCGGTATTGATCTGGAATCCTTCCCTCGGTCATTCTCTCCTTCTCCTTTTCCGCTTCTTCTGCGAATTTCTGCGCCGGCGTTCCCTTCAGCCGTAGGTCTACCTCCTTTCCAAAGTCGATCAACAAGATCGATTCTCCCTCTTCCAGATCCGGTGCACCCGCGTCCAGGTCAATTGCATCCATGTCGATCATCGCTTGGTGCTCCTCGTGACCCCTCATTTGACATTGCTCTGGGCATCGGCTGAATCTCATTGTCTGCTCCTGCCAATCCACCTCGGGGTTGTGTTCCGTCAGCCAATCCAGGCCGATGAAGATCCGGGCTTTTCCCAGACACGTCAGAAGGAACGTGCGTGTCTCCACATGAGGACCGATTCTCATTCTCAAGTCGACGTAGTGTGTGATCCGACCGCTGATGTTCTCGGTGTTGTCGGCGTTACGAGCCACAATGGGTTGCGGAAGCTCTTGGATATCCAGCTTTTCTGCCCGTGCGTAGTCGGTGTCGATGCAGCAGGTACTGCAGCCACTATCGAGCAGCGCCTTGACTCCACGCGTTTTCCCTGAGTCCAGGCCCGTGATCTGGACATATACGTCCATCGAATGCCTCTTTCTTTCGGCTTGGTAACTGCGCAATTCCTGCGCCAATCTGCTGGGCTGGGGGCCCTTCTGTTTCTCGGTCGCCAATTTCCTCTGGATGGCATCTGGCACCCTGGTGCGTTTGGGTGCTTCTGGAACCTCGATCTTGGCAGATTCCTTGGGCGCTTCCTCCTTTTCCAAGGATCGAGCCTTCGGAGCGATGCTCCCCTTTTCGGTCTTTGTTGACGTGGTTCCTTCTCCACGAGCCATAAATACGTAGGAGTCCAAAAATAATTTATCTGCAGCTTTCTGATCCTTTTTATCTTGTAAGTATTTTCTATTTAGAGCTATCTTTTCCTGGCGTTCTTTTTCCATCTCGGCAATAAGAAAATCGTGAATATTTGTACGTAGTGAGTCTGGGATCGTGTATGTAGATGAAATATTGTCCGTATCTTTAATCGAAGCAAGTACAGAAAATCGTCCATAGTCCGGATGCTCCACCTCCTTGGCTAGAGGAGTGGAGCGCTTCAAAAACCCTTCTCGCGCAGCTTCTCGGCAATCTCCTTCAGGAACTCGTTATCCTTGTCCCCGTTCTCGATTTCTTCCAGCATTGTGGCCCGATTGAAGAACGTGCGCTTCTTCTTGGGCTCCGGGCAGTTCCGCGCAATGTGCCCGGGCTGCTGACAGTTGTAGCAGATGATATTGCGGCCGCGGGCGTGGGTACGATCGATTTCCATCGGAACCGGTTCGTTGGCAGCGGGTCGGGCCGGAGCGGGTGTGGGCGCCACTGGTGCCGTTTGGGGACGGAACTGGGGAGGTGGTCGTTGTGTGGGGTGCCCATACGACGCTTTGCGCAGCTGGTCACGCAGAGCATTGGCTTCGATGTTGATGCACCAGGCTTTGAACGCTCCATAGGCCTTGGGCAGAGGGACACCGGTGTTGTAGAGACGGCTGGCGATCTCGCTGCTGAGTCCGCGCTCCAGGAACTCAATGAGGATATTATCCTGGTCCCCCTTCTTGTATTCGCCTTTGTCGTCGGTGGTGTCAACCACATTGTAGCCTGCATCCGCGGCCAACATCTCAAAGTCGGAGATGTAGTCCGCGAAGGACCGTTTGTTTTGACGCAGGGCCATAAGCCGAGCAGCGGCGACTTGTTCCGCATTGGAGTCCCCGAACGCCCTCTGAAACTCCTCCAGGAAGTTCTTTGATGTGACTCCTGCCTTCAGTCCCTGGAAGCCATCGAAGTTGTGCTGCTTCCAGTTCATCGCCCATCTCGAGGCAGCGCAGCTCGTGCCGTTCTCGTTACGGAGGTAGGAGAGGACAAAGAGGATTTTGGTCTCATCTTGTGAGAACTCCGATCGATAGGCACCGATGTAAGTGGTGCACGCGTCCACAAAGCCCAGGTATTTGGACTTGTCGCCATCGAAGTAGGGGGGGTTGGCGGCGAGGGTGATGCGGTGATGCCCTGACATGGTAGGGGCAGGCGTGTGAGGTGGAGGCGAGGGTGGTTGTTCGGAGGGCAGTTCGTCGAGGTCGGGGATCTCGTCTTCAGGCGGTGGGAGGGCGAGGTAGGCGTCGGAGGGCCCGGGTTGGTTTTGATGCGCCAGATCGGGCGACGATGGTACGATGGGGGGAGGGGATGGACTCCCAGACGACGATGGGAATCGGTACGAAATGGTGGATTCGTGTGCTGTACAAGCACTCGAGGAAAAGTTCTTTTGCTAGCAAAAAGATCCCGGGCCTAGCTCTTCACGTGCCCGATGATCCCGAGGTGCGTTTTCCCGAAGGTCTCCGCAGCACTCCTTGTAGCTACCGTAAGGCTTGGGTCGGGCTCAACGTTACCCGTGGCCTGGTGCTGTTTGCTTGATATGAACCCTTCACTGCGATAGTGGAGGACGACTAGATGATTCGGTAAAAGGGTGAGTGGGGTGATAAGGGTTAAGAGGATATAGCGGGCGTAGCGGTGCAAGATGCAGGGTAAGAGGTATGAGGTAGGAGGGTATGAGGGGAGTCTTCGAATTATGTGACAATCAACCCAAAAACAAGGTCGAAAAGAGAAGTGAATTCGAAGACTGGAGAATACAACCAAGTAGCTACAGTATTTATACCCAAATCTAGTCTGAGTCATATCTACAACTAATGAGTCATAGGGCTATGTACCGCATGGAACGCTGGTCATGGGTCGTAGTAGAACCTTCTGGAGCATATGTCGCGCAGCCTCGAATCGATGAAGATAATCCCTGAAACCCCTAGTCCGGACCGTCTGATGCCGTGATCCGTGATAAGATAAGATCGTCGATGATAAGATGAAAAAGTGGCCAAACTATGACAGTCTACATACTGTGATAGTTGCTAATACAAACAAGCTTCAACAGCTAGACACTCTCCCCAGTGCTCAACAGGTTATGGGCCCCGAGAGCTATGTCTGCGCCTTAGTAGCCGCAACATTCATTGTATGCGCCGTCACTGGCTGCAACAATGAGCAGCGTCTTGAGCCTATCTGTATTCACTTCAGCTGCTGCATAGCACTGGTGAAACCATGCCGGATTGCGATTACATTAGGGGCAGTCAAAGTAGCTGATTTGGGGCTGATTCAATCCTTGATTCGAGTGTGATTCTGGCATGATTTAGGAATTATTTTTGGCCCAGAATCACCATCAAATCAGGGTCTTACTTTGACCGCCATCTCACATCCTTGCTTCAGCTTTGATTCACCGCTACAACATCTATAGCATGTACCTATTTCCCTAATACACACTTCCGTCTCGCAACCACCATGCCACAAGCCAACCGACGTACTGCGCACGAAAAAGCCCTCCTAGAGGCGTATTTTGACTTTCGAAGGGCCCGTGTCAAGCGTCAACTCCGCCGTAAACAAGTCCTGCGTTGAGCACGCAAAGCAGAACGTCGTGCGCGGCCCAATCTCGACATGGACCCCGATTTCTCATCACCCGCCAAATACTCTTCCTTCAACTCCATCTCCTCCGGCGACTCCAGCGACTCCAGCAGCGATGGGTGGTCGGACATCCTAGGGTCGGATTGGCGTGGTCTCAGCGACAACTCAGGCAGTTTCGGGACGGGCTTCAGTAGCATTGAGGAGGAAGACATGCTGAGTCTGCAGACGGTGTTGGACTTCTCTGATTCAAGCTCAGAGTTGGGATGGGATTCAGATTCGGACTGGGGGCTGGAAGCGTATGATGGAGATGACGAGACGTCAAGCATGGAGTCGAGTGCAGAGACAGGGCGACTTGGGACAGCAGTGCGGAACGCGGTGATGGAGGAGATCCACAACATGTACGAGCATCGCTATCAGCAGCCACGGGACAGATCCGCTCTCCCTTGACCTCCTGGACAACTCAAGCATGTCTTGACGACATGGAAAACGATGCGCCCTGATCACTTTCGCGACGCGCTTCGCGTCAACCCCGCCACATTCGACGAGCTAGTCGCCAAGATCGAAAACGACCCAATCTTCTGGAACGAATCAAACCAGCCTCAAGCATCTGTTGACGAGCAGCTAGCCGTCGCTCTTTTTTGCTTTGGGCATGATGGGAACGCTGCCAGTCTCCAAGCGGTCGCTAATTGGGCGGGTCTGGGAAAGGGAACAGTTTTGCTGTATACCTGACGTGTAATGATCACCATCCTACGTCCCTCGTTCATGCAGGATGCTGTGCGCATGCCAACAGCGGAGGAGAAGGCAAAGGCCAAGCGATGGGTTCGGAAGCATTCGTGTAAAGCCTGGCAGCATGGCTGGTGCTTCGTCGATGGAACCTTGATCCCTCTCAATGAACGACCGACCTGGTACGGTCCTGGTTACTTTGATCGCAAATGCAACTACTCGCTCAACATCCAGGTACGTAGATTCCATCCACCAATCTTATGGCATCTTCTGATCTTGCTCTCAAAGATAGTCAATATGCCTAATTTGCAGATCATCGACTTTGGATACGGACACACGGGCAGTGCCCATGACTCGCATGCCTGGCAAACGACCCGAATGGCTATGGAGCATGAATCCTTACTCGAAGAAGGAGAATGGATCTGGGCGGATTCCGCTTATCCAGTATCTATGTTTGCATCCATGACTTGGAATGGAACTGACATGTGTCTGAAGATAGATACCTGGATTACAGCCCCATACAAGCGGCCTGAGCACGATCTGCCTGACAACGAGGTCTTCAACAACCATGTTTTGATGTTGCGTATCCGGTCCGAGCACGCTATCAGGTTCTTCAAGGGACGTTTCCATTTGCTGAAGCATCTCCGTGTCCGCATCAAGGATGCGGCAACTCATAAACTTGCAACATACGGGGTGGCTGCTTGCATCGGTGTCCACAATTTTGCTCTCTGTTCCGAGGAGAAAGAGCGCGGCGGCAAAGACCCGGTGATAGGCTGGCTACCAGACACGCTCTGCACCAGCTCTGTAAGGGCGTATTTTTGCGCTTTTACAGAGTTTACTCTCGAACCACTCGGTGTATCGTGTCGCGGATGACAGTGTTGCGCTCAGTAGGACTTAAGGGTCTACTGCCCAGTTGACGACTGTGGATAGTGTCGACGATAGCAAGGCAGTCAGACCACTACTGTGGAACTGGTCTTATGAGTCTATACCAGGCTCAGGGCCATTAGTGACGAACGCTTGGACCGCGACCATTCCCCAAAAAGGGATCTTTCGTTGCGTCGACTTCTCAAAAGGGTCATTCTCTGCAGAAGGGAACTTGGGCTGAAGGGCTGAGCAATGTGCAACGTTCTCAATAATACGACTACTACTGGACAGGACTTGGCGTTACGAGATTGAACCAATCTTGTCGTGGCAACTCCCAGTTTTGGGTTGGACGTTTCCTCAGATCATGCTACGGCGACGACTTGTCACATGTCAGGATCCATTCGATCACGGGACATTGTGGACGCGTCGCGGTGACACTTCCAAGTGTCACGGCAAGTCGCGCCCATACCCAAACACACTAAAATCGACATGGGCTAGATCCGTGAACCAAGCCATGTGGGGGACGACCGGCGTGCCTAGGGCCATACGGCTTCTTGGGGCGCCCACGTTGGTCTCACTTGCCAAGACATACCCGTTGGCCAATCCAGCACATCGTATTCCAAAAGTATGACGCGGTGAGTTGGCCCACATCAAAAGTATCATATGGACTATGGGGCGGGGTCCTGATCACTCAGGACCTGTCTGATTGTTCAACTTTTCAATTACCCTAAAAGGCAACCAATCTTAGATAGCGTAGCTACTATGCAGTTGTACAGGACTTTACTAAGCATCGTCGTAGACAGTATAAGTAGCACTTCGTTTCTTTGTATTAGAGAGCTTTCCCCCGGACTGTGAATCACTCTCATTTCAGATTGTTTTGTACAATTTGCGTGCCGTGTGATTCCACCCTAAGAAGTTCTGCTACCCCTGCCCGGTTGCGACGAGTTGCTCCCTGAGCACTCGTAGCTACTGTGATTTGAGTTTGAGTTGAGATATCAGAAAGTCGGATTCGCCGCATCTGGTTTAGTCGCGGCATTTAGTGTCGTCGCCCCTTTGGGCTTTGTTGAGATTGTTCCACACCTCTAGCTTGGCAGTGCGTCGACTAGTTGTGCCCGGGTTGTTTTGGTCAGTTGGCAGTGCGTCGACTTGAGAACTTTGGTTCCACACTTCTTGCTTGGCAGTGCGTCGACAAGTTGTGCTCGGGTTTTGGACATTGGATATTGGCTGTTAGTTGGCAGTGCGTTGACGCGGCATTTTGGTTTACTAGTTGGCAGTGCGTCGACTCAGTACTTTTGGTTGTGTCAGTTGGCAGTGCGTTGACTTGACGTTTTGGTTCTACTAGTTGGCAGTGCGTCGACTCAGTATATTGGTTGTATCGGTTGGCAGTGCGTCGACTTGATAGTTGGGCTTTGCGTCACTATCTGGACGCTGTCGCTACAAGGGATCTTAATACCTCGTATTAAGTTCTGACTGTAAGGGCAACCTCGAGGCCCGATCTCAGAGTCCTGACAAGGGAGAGTCCAAAGCGTCAGATAAGGGGATCGACTAGTACAGGAGACTGGCAAACCTGACAAGGGAGAGTCCAAAGAGAAACCGAGTTGGGGACTCTCCTTGTCAGGGCCCACTATATATAGCCTACAGAACAATGGATGACCAAGCACAATGGAAGCGCCAGACAATGGGGCCAGGGAACAATGAGGGGCCGGATCGGGGGAGAACAATGGGAGCCGGACCGTCGGAACAATGGGGATCCGGGCCAGGGTGTCATGTGGATGCGCTTGGCAGGGAAGTCCGGACCGAAGCATGTGACGCCTGACAGATGGCGCGTGCACGGTCACATGCAAGATCCCAGGATGATCGGACGAAAGCAGGGGTTCCCCTGACATCACCCCCCCTCTTGATTGCGGCGCCTCGACACAAGGCACGGTTGGGGGTTGACGAGTCCCTGAAGGGCAGCGAGTCAAATACGGCCGCTGCGATGACACGTGGCTTCCCAGGGTATTTGCGGTAAAATGCTGCCACTGCATCGTCAGCAAACACATCTGAGTGCTTGACCCACTGGTCATGAGACGGGTCATAGCCCTTCCATCGCACTCGGAACCAGACACTCCGGTATCGCATCTTTGCGTCTAGGATCTCCTCCACTTCCCACTCCTCTCCTTCGCCTTGTCCTAGGACAGGGGGTGGTTCTTCGTGACGCGGGCGAGTGGGGAACGGGTCGTCTTCGGCCAACTGGAGCTTGACCACAGGGAAGACTGGGTGGAGGCGAGAGAGGCTGGTGGGGAGGGCGAGCTTGTATGCGCCCCGGCCTACGACTTGGGTGACTTTGAAGGGGCCCAGGCGTCGGTGGGAGAGGCCGCGAGAGGGTCGCGTCGTCGTGATGTCTGAGGCGTCGAGCCAGACTCGGCTGCCAACCTTGATGTCGGGAGCAGTAGTCCTTCGTCGGTCATAGTACCTCTTGTACTCGTCCTTTGCTTTGACAAGTGCCGATTTAGCCTCGGTTACACCTGATGCGACCCGGTCCAGAAACTCATTGGCGGACTCTGCTCGGGTGGAGCGCTGCTCTGTTGGCTCGAATCCCATGCGTGGTAAACGTCCTGTGTCCGTCATGAAGGGAACCTGCTGGGTCGAGGAGTGGACGTGGTTGTTGTAGGCGAACTCAGCTGCGGGCAAGAGTTCATCCCAGTCGTCCTGCTTGTAGCTGGTGAAGATCCGGAGGTACTGCTCCAACTCCTGGTTGACCCGTTCGGTCTGGCCGTCAGTCTGCGGGTGGTAAGCGGTGGACGTGGCAGGGGAGACGCCAACCAGCTTCCATAGCTCTTGGGTGAAGTCTGCCACAAACTGAGGGCCGCGGTCCGAGACGTATTTGATGGGTAATCCGTGGTGTCGCCAGACATGCTTGTAGAACAACCGAGCCATCCCTTCGGCCGAGAGGCGAGTGTGGCACTCGATGAAGTGGGCACGCTTCCCCAGCATATCAACGACCACCATGATGGCGTCGTAGCCGTGCGCCTCAGGCAGCTCCACGATGAAGTCCACCGACACCGATTCCCAACGTTCCGAGGGGATCTCCGTGGGGTGAAGCTCTCCGGTGGGGAGTCGTCGGAGGGCCTTGGTCCGACAGCACAGGTCGCAGGTGGCCACGTACCGGCCAACATGTCGTGAGAGCTGGGGCCACCAGTAGTTCCGGGAGACCAGCTCCAGCGTCTTGAAGCGGCCAGCATGCCCCGCAACGCGGGTGTCATGATGTTGCTCAAGGATGCGTCGCCGTAGGTCTTTGTCACGCGGGACCACCAGCTTCCCACGGAAGTAGAGGAGGCCGTCCTGGATGCGCCATTCCGCTGCTACAGCGGAGCGGGCCCCCTTCATCCCTTTCAGAAGCCGTCGCGCTATAAGCGCAAGTTCTTCCTCAAGGTCAGGGTCACCGGAGAGCGATTCCCGAATGTCGCGGACAAGCGGGGCTTCCGGGCCAGAGACGGACAGTCCTTCGAGTGCTCGCACATGGAACAGTTCCGGTTTCAACAGGGTAACGTCTGTGTTGTCCGAAGGGGCTCCGTGGTCCGGGCGTCGGGAGAGTGCGTCTGGTCGTCCCATGAGCCGGCCGGGTTGGTGGTGGAGCGTGAAGTCGAAGCGGGATAGATAGAGCGACCATCGGGCTTGCCGGCGATTGAGGTTTTGGGCCTTGCGGAAGTACTCCAGGTTCTTGTGATCGGTCCAGATCTCCACCGGGTACTCGGCGCCCTCCAAGAAGTGCCGCCACTCCTCCAGCGCACGCACAATCGCGAGCATCTCCTTGTCGTGGATCTCGTAGTTGCGCTGGACGTTGTTAAGGCTTTTGGAGAAGAAGGCGACTGGGTGCCACTTGTCGTCTGAGGGGGACTGCTGCGAGATGACGGCTCCTGTGGCAAAATCGGAGCTGTCAGCCTCTAGGCGATAAGGACGGGAGGAGTCTGGGAGGAGAAGAACCGGCGTAGAGGTAACTGCATCCTTCAAGGCCTGGAACGAAGTGGACTCGTTGTCGCCCCAAGACCATGGTACGTCCTTCTTGGTGAGGTCAAAGAGCGGGCGTGCAACGTGCGAGAAGTCCCGGATAAACCTCCGGTAGAAGTTAGTGAACCCAAGGAACTGCTGCACTTCCTTCTTGTTAGAGGGGGCCGGCCATTCGGCCACGCCTGCCACTTTGACGGGGTCCATCTCGACGTGGTTGTGGGAGATGATCACGCCGAGGTACTCGATGGACTCCATCTCGAATTCGCACTTCTCGGCTCGGAGGTACAACTTGTTTTCGCGGAGGCGCCGGAGGACTTCGTTCACAATACGACGATGGAGGTGAGGATCGGAGTGAGCAATGAGGATGTCGTCCAGGTACACCATGACGTCGCCCGAGAGGATGAGGTCCTGGAGGATGTCATTCATCATGGTCTGGAACGTCGCAGGGGAGTTGGTAAGGCCGAAATACATCACCAGTGGCTCGAAGAGCCCACGGTTGGTCCGAAACGCAGCCTTCCACTCGTCTCCTTCTCGTATCCGTACGTTGTTGAAGCCCCATCGAACATCGAGTTTGGTGAAGAAGCGGGCACCCTTGAGCTTGTTGATCAGGTCGTTGATCAAGGGGAGGGGGTACCGATTCTTCACTGTCATTGCATTCAGTGCCCGGTAATCCTGGACAAACCGTAGGCTGCCATCCTTCTTCTTGACAAAGAAGACGGGGGAGGCCATGGGGGACTTCGAGGGTCGGATTCGGCCGGTGGCCATGCCTTCTTCGATGAAAGCGTCGAGCTGCTTCTGCTCCAAGGGGGAGATAGGGTAGACCTTGCAGTTTGTTGGCTTTGCATCGGGCACCAGTTCGATGGCGTGGTCCCAAGGGCGACGTTCCGGAAGATTGTCGAAGGATTCCTTGCTGAAAACATCCTCAAACTTGCGCGCCCACTCGGGTATGGAATCTCGAGAGGGGGCGGAGTTCTTGGCAAACGCCTCCGCAAGACGCTGGGAGACGGTGCTAGTGGCTCGGATGTCTTCAGAAGGGTTGAAACGGGTGTAGAAGATACGGTCACCGGTTTCCAGACAGTCTTCCTCTTCATCGGAATCTTCTCCGTCGTCTTCCTGGAGCAGTGGCATAGCCTCGTCTTCGCGGTCTTCAATATCAACGACGCAGATGGAGGGGACAGGGCCTTGTCGGGTTGATCGGAGTGCTCGGGCCGAAATCCGGGCTATCCGTCTCTCTTGGCGAGACTCCTCGGTGCAGGTGGAGCAGCCCGATGGGCAGCGGCTCATCTTTACCTCCTGGGTGTCCCAATTGATCTCCGGGTTGTGCTTCCGAAGCCAGGAATAGCCGAGGATCAATTTCTGCTTGCCAAGCCGAGTGACGGCGAGCTGGACACGCTCGCTGTGTCCTTGGTAACGCAGGACCACATCGGCAACTTGTCGGATGGAGCCGGCTTCATTTGGCGTGCCGTCCACGTTGTAGACTGGGATAGGCTGGGAGAGCTGCCGGACCGGAAGTCGGTTTTCGGAGGCGTAGGTGGAGTCGATGAAGTCCGACGTGGCGCCGCAGTCGACCAGTCCGTTGAGGGCGAGCTGGACTGCGTTGTCGGTGGACTGGATCTCTAGGGGGAGGTGCAGGGAGTTGGCGCCGGGGGAGGCTGCGACCACGTAGCGCTGAGGGAGTTTTCGTTCCCACTTTTCCTTACGGACCAGCGGGACAGAGCGAGGGGCAGGGGGTACGTCTATCGTTTCGTTTGCGGGGGAAATGAGGTCGCATTCATCATACAGACATTCAAAACGATTACGTGAGGCGATCGAGGGCGTACTATTCACTCGTCGCGGGGGAGAAAACCCTGCTCCAACTCGTCGGCAATCTCTGCTTTGTGATCTTCTACAGCCGCTGTAGTTGCTAGCCGGGCCACTAATTCCGCCAACAGGTCGCTTCCCAGCTGATTGATCACTTCGTCCAGGACGTCAGCGTGCCGGACATCCACGGGGGTCGGGCAGTCTCGGGCCAGGTGTCCTGGGCTGCCGCATCGGAAGCAGGTGCGACAAACACCGGTGCGGGCTCTGGTTCGGTCGATCTCCATGGGAATGCCCGGTGGGAGGACTACTGGGGCTGGTCGGGGAGCAGGAGGTGGAGCAACCACCGGAGCAGCCACGGGGCGAGGGCGGGGGGCCGCAGGAGGCGGAGCGCGGGATGGAGAGAACACCTGTCCTCGTGCAGCTCGGGCAGCCACCTCGGCGTTGTACTGGCGGAATGCGCGGGTACGCCACTCCGAGTAGTTTGTGAGGCTAGGTGGGTTACCGGAGGTCGTGATCGCTTGATTGATCCTGGGGTCCAGACCCGCCCGGTACTTGGTGACCTTGACCAAGTTGTCAGAGTAACCCGCCAAGTCTAGAAGGTCGTCGAACTCGTCCGTGTATTTGAACACGTCGCGGGATCCCATGTAGTAAGCGTGGGTCTCCAGTCGTGCCAGGGCGTGGTCTTGCTCGTTCTCCTCGACAAACCGGAGCTTGAACTCGGCCACAAAGGAGGACCAGGTCGGAAACGGGAAGACGAGGCGCTCTGACATGCGTTCTGACCAGGAGGCCGCCGAGTCCTTGGACATGTAGGAGAGGGCGAAACGTACCACCCGCTCTTCTGATACTACCCCGTTCACATGGAAGGCCTCAGGGAGGAGGCGCCAGTACTGCTTGACGGAATGGAGAAACGTCTTGCCCTGGGTGCGATCTCCGTCAAACGCGAATGGGGGATTGGGGCGGATGAGGGGTCTCGAGCTGGCCTGTTGGCCAGTAAATACACCTGGACCCGCTGCCGGAGACGGGGCAGGGACAGGGGCAGGCTGTTGCTGTTCGATTATGAAGTTGTTGAGGAGTCCCTCTATTCGCTGCATGGCTTCCTCTAGATTACCAAGTCGCTGCTCAGGGGAGGACCCGTGGTCTTCTTCTTCCATGTAGGACATGATGATCGTAGAGGGGGAGGAGGGGACAAGATTGGAAGTAAGAGGCGTATGACGCTATCAGCGGTCTTCACAAGCTTGTCCAGTTATCCCTAGGAACTCGGTTTCTGCTGTAAGGGCAACCTCGAGGCCCGATCTCAGAGTCCTGACAAGGGAGAGTCCAAAGCGTCAGAT